ATGAATTTGGTTTTTCCTCTGCTCATCCCATACAAAAAACCACACCTGGATGAAGCTCAGGGACAAAAACTGCCCTTCCAGGAAGGCTGAAAACGGCCCCGGCGGCACCCGAGCGCTCCCCCAGGACCCCCCGCTCCACCTGGGGGTGGGAATTCCGGGGAATTCCGGGGAATTCCGGGGCACACCCACCTGAGGCGAGGGCAGTTCTGCCCCAGGGCGTTGAGGATGGCGTCGGTGATGTTGGAGCAGCCGGAGGCACACAGGGACTGCAGCTTGTGGCAGCCCCTGCAGATGGTGATCAGCCCGTCGTCCGTGATTTGCTGCGGGACGAAGGTGACATTCCACGTGAGATTCCACGGATTTCCCCTCCCACAGTTCCAGCCCCCCCGGGAGGAGTTCTGGCTCCCTCGAGCCCAAAATGCACCGAGGGGTTTTGCTGGAGCAGCTGGGACAGGAGAAACCCCACTGGAGTGGCTTGGAAATGTTGGGGAAGTCGTTTTTCTGTGGGCAGGGAGGTGTCTGGGAGTGGGGCCAGGGGAGGGATGGGGAAGGGGCTGGGATTCCTGCCTTTGCTATTCCTGCTTGGAAAGACCATCCCTGGGCACAGGGGGTTTATCCAGCCCCATTTCCAGACACAGGGATCCCATCCAGCCCCATTCCCAGACAGGGATCCCATCCAGCCCCATTCCCAGACACAGGAGGTCCCATCCAGCCCCATTCCCAGACACAGGGATCCCATCCAGCCCCATTCCCAGACACAGGGATCCCATCCAGCCCCATTCCCAGACACAGAGGGTTTATCCAGCCCCATTCCCAGACACAGGGATCCCATCCAGCCCCATTCCCAGACACAGGGGGTTTATCCAGCCCCATTCCCAGACACAGGGATTCCATCCAGCCCCATTCCCAGACACAGGGGTTTTATCCAGCCCCATCCCTGGCCACAGGGCCCACTTCCTTGGAAAAGGAAGAGGCTGCCCAGCTGCTGTTCCAGACTAACTGTGTGATGGCACGTACAGAGAGCCCATTCCAATCTATTTTTTGGCAAAAATGCACATTTTTGGCACTGCAGAACTGGCTCAGGGCCCTTCTGTGCAGGAAAACTGCATTTTTGGGTTCAGTTCCACAAAGAGATGAGAGGAAAGGCCTGGCAGGGCCACTCTCCAGGACTGATGGAAAGAATTTTTCCAGCTCATCCTGCAAATGAATTCGGGAGGGCAGGGAAGGGAGGGACAACCCTGACACAGCAAAGGCTGCTCTGGGGCTCATTCAACCCTCCTGAATGGCACCAAAAAATCTGCTTTTCATCAACTGTTTGCTCCAACTGCACCGAGGACGGAGCACATTCCACAGGGTTCTGCTCAGGGATGGGCTTGGAATGTTGGGAAGCCTCACTTACCAAGCAGGTTTGGAGGTTTAAAGTCACCAGCTCGGGGCAATGTGCTCCAATGTACTTCAGGGCCTCATCCTCGAGCTGGGGGGGGGGAAAACACAGGCACTGAGACAACCTGGCACTGCTAAAACCCACCCACTGGAGCTGAGGGGGCAACAGAAGGGCTTTGGGGGCCTTTGGGCGACGGAACTTTTTGGGATGTAAAAGAAATGCCTAGTGTTTCCTCCCCACCCCCTGAGGAGCAGCAGGAACATCCCAGCTGTGCTCATCCCCCTTTTCCAGAGCCATACCTGGGTGCAGCCCTTCAGGGACAGGGCTTTGAGCCCCCCACAGCCCCTGACCAGGGCCTGGATCCCGTCCTTGGTCACTTGGTCGCACCAGGAGATGATGAGCTGTTCCAGCAGCGGGCATCCCTCGCTTGGGGGGGAGAGAGGGGAAAACATGGGAATGCTGGTTTGTTTTTGGGAGGCAATCCTGCTTTTTCACCCCTGAAATGCCCATTCCTGGAAGCCCTGTGAGCGCAGACACTCCCACATCCCCCCCAGGGGGGGCAGTTCCCAAACCTCGGCTCCGAGGGGGACGTTCCCCGGGTGGTCTTAGAGGTCTTTTCCAACCTTAATTCCAGGATTGTGCTGGCACAGCCGGTGCTGCTGGCTCCTACCTCAGTGCTTTCAGGGACAGGTTGGTTATGGAGGTGCAGGAGGCCAAGTCCAGGTGCCTGAGTTTGGAGCAGAACTTGCTGAGGCTCGTGCAGGTGCTGGAAGAGAGACAGGGAGACAATTCCTGCCACGGATCCATCCCAGCTCACACACATCCCATGGGAGGGGCACTCTGGGGGGAGCAGGGGGGTGGGGACACTGGGATGGAACTCCCAGAGAGGTTGTGGGAAGCGCTGGACGGGGCTTGGAGCAACCTGGGATTGTGGAATGTGTCCAACCCACGGCAAGGGGTGGGACTGGGTGGGCTTTAAGGTCCCTTCCAAGCCAACCCATTCCATGATTCCATGATCTCCCACACCCCCAAGCCTGGCTTTCCCTTAAAAAAGGGATGGGGAACAGGCCCTGGAGCAGCCAGGGCTGAGGGAAGAGCTCTACTCACGCGTCCGTGATCTTGGTGCAGCCATTGAGGTTCAGCACCTCGATGTTCCTGCAGTTCTGGGCAAAGGTCCTTTGGGAAAGGGAGGGAAAACACTGGGTTGGCCAGGGAACAGAATTCCAGGTGCTTTACAGCAGTTGTGTGACACGGAACACAGCACATTAAGGTTTGGCAGAACGGTCTCGAGCGTTAAAGAAGAAATAAAGGAGGAATAAAGAAGAAAATAAGGAAGAAAATCAATGAAGAAGAAAATCAGTAAAGAAGAAAATCAATAAAGAAGAAAATAAGGAAGAAAATCAGTAAAGAAGAAAATCAGTAAAGAAGAAAATCAGTAAAGAAGAAAAAATCAATAAAGGAGAAAATCAATGAAGAAGAAAATCAGGAAGAAAATCAATAAAGAAGAAAATTAGGAAGAAAATCAATAAAGAAGAAAATAAGGAAGAAAATCAGTAAAGAAGAAAATCAATAAAGAAGAAAATAAGGAAGAAAATCAGTAAAGAAAATCAGTAAAGAAGAAAATCAATAAAGAAGAAAATAAGGAAGAAAATTAATAAAGAAGAAAATCAATAAAGAAGAAAATAAGGAAGAAAATCAGTAAAGAAGAAAATCAATAAAGAAGAAAATAAGGAAGAAAATTAATAAAGAAGAAAATCAATAAAGAAGAAAATAAGGAAGAAAATCAATAAAGAAGAAAACCAATAAAGAAGAAAACCAGTAAAGAAGAAAACCAATAAAGAAGAAAACTGATAAAGAAGAAAATCAATAACAAAGAAAATCAATAAAGAAGAAGAAAATCAAGAAAAGCAAGAAAAGAAAATAGTCAAGAAACAGGAATCAAGAAAATCAAGAGGAAAATCAAGAGAATCAAGAAATAAGAAAAGAATGAAGAAAAGCAATAAAATCGAGAAGAAAACAAGTAAAGAAGGAAACCAAGAAAATATAAAAGAAAATCAAGAAAATATAAAGGAAAACCAAGAAAATGTAAAAGAAAAACAAGAAAATGTAAAAGAAAATCAAGAAAATGTAAAAGAAAATCAAGAAAATGTAAAAGAAAAACAAGAAAATGTAAAAGAAAAACAAGAAAATGTAAAAGAAAAACAAGAAAATGTAAAAGAAAATCAAGAAAATGTAAAAGAAAATAAAGAAAACAAAGAACAAAATCAAGAAAATAAAGGACAAACCCAAGAAAATAGAAGGAAATCCAGAAAACCAGTGATTTCTGCTGGCCCACCTCATGCCCTGGGATTTCCCAGCCCCACTAAAGGCCTCAGCTGCCCCTCAGTGCCAACCCCTCCTGAGTTTGGAACAGCAGCTGACAGGATTTTAATGAGAACCGAGAAAAACTGAATTTTAACGAGACTTTTGAACCCGGGCTGGGGTTAAAAATGACCAATTAAAGCGGGAAATGAGCAATGGCTGCCCCTGCCCTCGAGGTTTCCCTCACACACACACGGGCTGAGGGGCTGGGGCACGAAGTGGTGCTGGATTATCCCCGTCCTGGGTGGATGGAGGGGCCAAATCCCCCTTCCCAGCCCGATTCCAAGCGGGAAGAAGGTGCAGCTCTACCTTAAGGCGTTGTCCCCCACTCCCAGGCAGCCCCTCAGGCTCAGCTTCCGCAGGAATCCCCCACATCTCTTGGAAATGTTCTCGACCACCCGGCCCTGGGGGAGACACAAAGGGCACCTCAGCATTGCCCCCCCAAAAAAAACCCCCCAAACAGCTGGATTCAACATTTGGCAGGTTAACAACAAGTTTGTTACTTTAGGGTGCTGAGGAAATAAAAATGCCACGGGAAGGATCTAAGGGAAGGGGAAAGGGGGGGATTATTCAGCTTCTGAAGATGGAGAGACAGGGAGCAGTTCCCTGAAGCCCATCGGCCAAGGATGGGGGAATTCCAAGGAACTTCCCCCAGTTTGGGGCTCCTGGACATCCACACAGACTGCCCAGGGAATGGGAGGGGAGCTGGGCAGCAGGATTTCCAAGGGATAAGCCCAAACTTCCACTCAGGAGCAGAACCAGCCCAGGAGTTTGGCAGGAAAAGGGATTCAAACGCTTGTGGCTCGAGAGATCCAGAAAAAGGCTTTTTTTATTTCAAATCTGTGTTCACTGGAAGTCTCCAAAGAGCCCAGATTTCCCTCTCTCCCTGGGAATGAAGGGCAAACCCTCTGGAGAGTATCTGAGCAGTGCTCAGCAATCCAGAACCTCCCCCTGTGCTTTGGTTGTTCATCACAAACCAGGAGCATCCCTTGGCTCTCCCTGCACTAACTGGCATTTAAGAGCAACAGAAGTTGAAGATGCTCCTCTAGAATCTCTTTTCCAGTCCCCAAAAAGCCCCCAAAACCAAGGATCAGGCTCAACACGACATAATTCCACAACCAAAGATGGACACTGAGATCTCCAAGGTGAGTTTTGGGCCACAGGAGCAGCTCCACGACCTCCACATCCCTGTAAAAAGGCTGGAGAAGCTGCAACACTCCCAGATTTTGCAATTCCTCTGGCAAGGCTGTGGATCCCGCTTGGATTAGGGGATCCAAACACGTCTGTATCAATAATTTACACCAACTGCTGGATTTAACTCCCTCCAAGCAAAGCCTGAGCACGTCAGGAAGCCCAGCAGGTTCTGGAGGTGAGGAACAACAAATCCCAGCGTTTTCTTTTAAAAGGGGTCGGGTTTTTTCAGGATTTTTTTGTTTTAAATGGAATAAAACATTCTGAGGGCTGTTTTTTTTCTGCTCCCTTTTCCTGCTCAAGGCACTTTCCATTTTAAGACCATCCCTATGAGTGCAGAGCCCACATCCCACAGATCCAACAACGAGGCAGCTCCAAAGCTGCACCTTGTCAGGGACAACTTTTGACCTCGTCCCCCCCAAATCATCTTCACTGAAATTTCAATTTTTGATATTAAAGACAGACAGGGAAGGATTCAACAGACATTCAGCCTTTGTGGTCTCATCAGTGCTGTGCTGACTGGGAGGGGAAGGAGAAACAGCCTCAGTTCTGCTCCAAATAAGCAGCAGTTTTCCCCCAAAACACACTTTTTCTACTAATTTCTGTTTTTTCAGAACAGGCAAAACCACTTTCCTTCCATTAGCCCCTCTCAAGGCTTGATGCACACACATAATTCTGTCCATTTTCAAAAGCTGAATGGGATTGCCAAGACTTTAAAAGGCTCCTCGAAGCTGAAGAGCTGAAATTAATGATCTCTATCTCCAGGGAAGGTAAAAAAGGGTTACTCTGGGAGTATGAATCCATTCTAGGCTGTAATTACAGTTTAACAAGGGGGAAAAAAAAAATGGGTTTGTATGTCACTTAATGATACCTCAATGTCCCTCTGGAAATCAAACAGGTCAATTCGCTGCCAGTTACTGCCATCCAGGGCCAGAACATTCCATGCCTTTATTGGGGGGAAAAAAATGTAAATGTGTGGTTAATATGATAAAAAAAAAGGTCAGTGGGGGATCCAGTCCCAGTTTTGTTCCTTGGAGGAACAACATTCTCAGTGTCCCAGGTGGAAAAGCCAGTGGGGGAATTCCAACATGGAGAACTGGGCAGGTACCAGAAGCACTTGCTGGGACTACCCCAGGGAATAACTTGGAATTCCAGGTCCCCCAGGGAGGGAATTGGTGCCCCCAGAGTGGGAGGAGCTGTGGGCATCTTCACATTCCTGGCTGGAATTAAGGTGAGTCCCCCCCAGGGGACCCTCAACGCTCACAAGGGGCTTTAGTTTTGGTCCAAACCCCCCGAATCTCACGTGGTTCCTGCTCCAAAAAGGAGGGGCAGGAGCCCAGGGCTGGTGATTCTGCCCTCAGTGAATCAGCACAGAGCTGTGTGTAAAGTTTTAATTACCCAATCAAAGTAAACAACCAGATCTGGTAATAACCAGGAGCTCAGCGTTGGGAAATCAGGGATAAGTACAGGTGGATTTTCCATCCCATCCCATCCCTCACATGCCCTGAGCTCGTCTCCCAGCCCAAAACACCAGCTCTTGGGCAACAATAGGTGCAGAGTCAGAGCAGGGGGCAGAACTGGGCATTAAGTGATTTTCTCTTTGTGGTTTGAATTGCTGATATTTGTTTGAAGGTCCACGGGAAAAGCGACGGCTCCGGTGGGAAATGCACCGGTGGCTGCACAATTCCACGGGCAGGGAACGTTCCAGAGCCTTCCTGCACCTCCTGCAGGTACCTCACGTGCTGTGCCACGGGGTGAGTGATGCTGTTCCCTGTGCAAACAGGAGCAAGGGGCAGTCCAGGAGGGCACCTTGACATTGGCAGGATCCCGTTCCAGCCGGGACTGTCCTGCTGGAGCCATGGATTTCACCTGGAAGGTCTTTCCCTCCCCAGACCCGTGTTATCCAGGTGGGAGCTGCAATGCCCAGGCCCCACACAGGGCCGGTTTTAATGCAGTAAATAATGTCTAAGCATAATTTTTTTGATTCCAACATGCTTGGACTGATGCACTGAGAAGTTTGTGCAGGGGTGACCCAGCCAGGACAGTGAACACTCCACTCCAACACCTCCCCTGGATGGACATCCCACCCTTCCTGCGGCAGTGCCTCCTCTGGCTGTTCCCAGAATGAACCTGGAAGCTCCAGATAATTTGACCTGCAGCTGGAAGAACTTTCCCAAGCGAATATTCCAAGCTGGATTTCACCAGCTGAAGCCCACGAAGGACAGAAACCACCCCAAACAAAACACTCTTTTTTTTCCATGCTTACTCCAACTACACCCAGGGAGGAAATAAACTTCCACTGGCTCTGCAGCACCCCCTGTGAATCAGAATTTCCTGTATTTCCACCCAAACTGTTTCAGATCCCCAGCTTTGGGGTTTCCCCAGCTTTAGGACAAACCCAGGCTGAGGGGAAAGGTTTGGGCAAAAAGTCAACCCCCCTCATACCTGGGACACTGGAAAATGCTATTCCAGGCTGGAGTCCCCTTCACTGGGAATTTTCCAGCGTTAACAGGGGACACCAAATAACAGTTCAGTGGCACAAAGGTCCCTGGTACAACCCCCTGTGTGACTGGGAAGGGCTGGAGCAAGAGGACTTTGCCTCCCCAAATCCAACCCCCTGCTAAAACCCACCAGGAAGAGGAGGAAGGTTCTTACCCTGGAAACTTGAGCACAGCGACACAGAGTGACCACATCCAGGAAGGAGAAAATTCTGGAAGAGAAACGAGAGACACCTTATTGGTTTAACACAGAGGGAACGTGGAAAACAAAGGTGGTGGAGGGAGAAAAGCCCGGGGCAGCAAAACTCCTTTGTGATTCAGCTGAAAAGAAGTGCAGAGGCAGCAGCTCCCAAACGAAAGGGAAACACAGCAGCTCTGGAGCCACAGGGAAAAGGGAACCTCAAAGCTTGGAGCAGCTCCGGAGAGGAAATTCGGGGGTTGTGGCCCCACACGGAGCTCCAGAGCCCCAGGTTTGGCCAGCCCACGGAGCACACCCAGGGATTTTGGGATGGCTGGCTCTGACTCCACGTGGGAGCGAGTCCAAGGCACCAGCACCTCCAGCAACAGCTCCCAGGAGTTGGGCAGTGCCACCATTCCCAGCCCAGGGATCAAAGCGGGCGACGGGCCCGGTTTCGGTGCCCGGATTAGTCCCGGGTGTCACCCCGGTGATTAGAGGGATGGAGCGGTGGGGAAAGGCTGGGAGAGCTGGGATTGCTCAGCCTGGAGAAGGGAAGGCTCCAGGGTGACCTAATTGTGGCCTTCCAGTACCTGAAGGAGCCACAGGAAACACGGAGAGAGCATTTACAGGGGCCTGGAGCGGCAGGACAAGGGGGAATGTGTGGAGGCAGGAATGGCTTCCAAGTGAAAGTCAGGTTTAGGTGGGATATTGGGAAGGAATCCCTCCCTGTGAGGGTGGTGGGACACTGGCACAAGGTGCCCAGAAAAGCATTACTTGGATAATTTTTCCCAATTCTGCCTTAACAGACCCAAAGGCACCGAGCTGGGATATTTATTTTTCCATCCAGGAAGGATTCCTGTTCTGCTCCCAACTCTTTTACATTGGTCTTTTCTCTCCTCAGAGTTGACAGCGAGGAAATAATCCACAAAATCAACTTTATCACCGAGCAGTGACTGCAGCTGAAGGCAGGCTGAGCTTTCCCAACAGGAATTAAGGCTGGAATTGCAGCGGATTAAACTGTTTCACTGCAAAGTAACTCCCCCACGTGCAGCTGAACAGCTCAGCCCTGGCCAGTTTGGGTAAAACACACCCACTTAGAGCAATTTTCAGGTTTCACCCTCTTAATCCACTCAGGGTCTCTAGGACTCCTCACTTTCCCACTGTCCCTAACTGGATTAGGGTCAGGCCCCTGCTGAAATCCCTGGATGCTGAGGGCTCTGAGGTGAGCCAGCTTAGACCTTCAGCCTTCTAAAATTACCCACAGCAGCTCCTGCCAGTGAGTCACCATTCCAGGTGGATTCTGCTCCCATGGGCTGGGCAGGGGGAGAAGAAATCACAGCTCTGCTCCCACCTCCTCATCAGTTCCCAAGAACTCCAGCTCCTTGGGGATAAAGCAGGGGGGGGCTGGAATGCTGGATGGCAGAGGCAGTGCTGGGGTTGTGCTGGGAAGGGGGAGCAGGCAGAGCATGGATCAAAGCTGCTTAGGCCAGGAGAGAGCTGCAAACTGCTTGACCTGCCCATGAACCAGCCAGGAAAAGCCCAATTCCCACTGCCTGGTCCCTGCTCCTGCCAAGGTGGGGGTGTTTAACAGCCCCACATCACCCCGGGAGTGAAACCTTCTCCAGAGGCCACGGAAAATCCGGGCTGGGGCTTGGGGTTTGGCTCCCAGACCTCACGGAATAAAAGCCCCTTTCCTGTGGCAGCGGGAATGGCAGCACAGGGAAACAGGGATGAGATGCCCCTCTGGGGACATGAGCACAGCTGGAGCTGACAGGGACCATGGATTCACCCCCTGGAGACACCAAACTGCCCAAAGAGGAGCTGGAGCAGCCAAGGAACGAGGGCAGAGCAGGGAATGCTGCTTTTTGGTGCTTTGGCTCATTTCTGTGTGTGGGAAGGGTGACACCTCCAAGGGTGTCACCTCCTGGCTCTCAGCTGGCAGGAGACAAAGCTGCAGCAGGAACAGCAGTGCCAGGACATGGATTTGGGATTGTCTGCTGAGGCTGTGGCTGCTCCATCCCTGGAAGTGTCCAAGGCCAGGTTGGAGCAACCTGGGATAGTGGGAGGTGTCCCTGCCCACAGCAGGGGGTGGCACTGGATGGGCTTTAAGGTTCCTCCCAACCCAAACCACTCCATGATTCCACAAACACTGCCAGACAACTGGAGAAGGATTTGTGGTACGAAGGGAGGGAAGGTCCTGCACCACACAGGGAATTCCAGCAGGACATCAGAGTTCTCACGCTCCCGTGAGAATTCCCTGTGGGAATGTTTGTGCCTGTGGTGCCTGGGTGTCACTGGCCATCCCAGCCCAGCAAACGTCCGGGATCAGGGGGGAACCAGGGAGAAACCAGCAGTTGATAAATGTTTCAAGTTCATAAGTGATGGTTTGGAGAGCTGGAATTCACTGTCAACAGACTGCGAAAATTAATGAGTGTGGATTGACAGTGCGGCCTTTGAAAGGGAAACTTGGATGGGTTTCCCTGCAGGAATCTCCTGTAAATGGGTGTCAGTGTCTGCAGGACAAAGGCTGGTGTGTCTGGGCAGAGCTGCTGGGGAAGGGCCTGTTCCCTGCCCCATCTCAGATGGGTTCCGTGTCTCCCGTGTGTGGCTGAGGAGTGGAAGCTGCACTTGAGCAAAATAAAGAGCAGGAGGATGTGAAAGGGGAGAGCAGCAGCCTCTGCCACCCCAAAGGTACAGGGGTTCTGTGGGGCTGGGGTGTGGGAGGGGACGGTGCTCTGGGGCATCACCCCTTTCCCTGTCCCATGCTCAGCCCTGCCTGGATTGGGGACGTTTGTCCTGCATTTCCAGAGGGCAGGACTCTGACAGAGCTTTGCCTCCTGCCAGCTGAGAGCCAGCAGGTGACACCCCTGGGGGTGAATGTCCCTCCACACAGGCAGGAGTGAGCCAAACCTCAACCCTTGGTCCCACTCGGGATCATTCCACTTCCACCTCCCAGAAACCTCACCCAGGCCCTGCTCCTTGGACCTGTGGACACACACCTGTCCTTCCCCTGAAATCCATGTGAAATCTCCATTAAATTCCATCCCTGGCCTTTTCCTCCCTGCCAGATTCCCCACATTCCCTGCCTCCCACATCCACGCTCTTCCCAACCTGTCCCCGACCCGCCCGTGCCTTGTCACCTCCCCACCAGGACAAATCCCGGCTTTGTCATATCTGCTCCCACCACAAGAACAACCCACTCTCAGAAAAACCCAGAAAGACAATTTTTTGTCACTCTCCAAATCCCCCTTTTTCTGCTGGACAGCCCCTTCCCTGTGTCCCAAGGCTCCAAACCCAAACACCCACACTGTCAGCAGGGAGGGCTCCACCAGCCACACACTGGGTGAGGAACACCAGGATAAGAGAACCTGAATCAGGCTGGAAATAACACTCCAGAGGTGGCAGAGCAGTGAAAACTAAACATAGTGAGACCTTTTCCCTGTTCCCTCTGTTCCAGCAGCAGTTCCTGTCTCACACTCCTCTCCCCAGACTTTACAGCCACGGAGTGTTGACAGACCCCCAGTTTCCTGCAGTGTAAGAACTGCAGGTGTTAATAATAACTTTATTGGTGTTAATAATTTCAGCTCCCTCCTGCCTTTGCCTCCCCCGTTTCCAGCCCAACATCTGAGCTCAAGGCACTGACAAACCCGAACCCAACTGAGGGACAATCACCCCCTCACCCCCTTCCTGCTTCCCAGGGGGACTCTGTCCCACACGGGGCCAGAGCATCCCACAGGGGTGATCCTAAAAGTCTTTTCCAACCTTAACAATCCACAAATCTGGCGGATCTTTTCCCAACAGGACCATCCTGCCAGCTGCTGAACATCTGGCTCCTGCTGAGCAGGAGCAGGACAAAGCCCACTGGAGTGCAACCCCGCTCTCCACACCAGCCCACGCTCACCACTCCTCCTCACCAAGGACTCGTTCAGTCCTACAGTCCCTCCACCTACAAAACAGGCAAGGAGCGAATTCATTCAGCATTTTAACCCCCAAAACTTGATCACACTCAGCACAAACTGCTGCTGACGCAGACCTTGGACCTTGTGCTGCTTTTTGGGGAGTGACCCAGTCCAAGCTTAAGCAGCAAAGCCCCAAATCCCACCCCCAGGGGCAGGGACTCACCTCAGCAGCAGCTCCTTGGGCAGTTTTTTGTTGATCACGGCCTCATCGTTGTTTGAGAACATCTGCAAGCAAACACAGGTGCCACAGGTCAGCCACACTTCCAGGGAATAAAGCCCAGGGAAGAAAGTGGCTGGTTAACAAGGCTGTTTCCAGACACCTGCTCCAGTAAGTTCTTAACAGGTAAATTTTGTGCTCCAGCTTTCAAACTGTGCCCGAACATGGATCCAACCTATCACCTTCCCAGAGAGTGGATCCAACCCCATCACCTTCCAAACATCCTGTCCCTGAGCAGGGATCCAATGCCATGACCTCCCAAATATCCTGTCCCTGAGCAGGGATATAATCCCATCACCTTCCAGATATCCTGTCCCTGAGCAGGGATCCAATGCCATGACCTCCCAAATATCCTGTCCCTGAGCAGGGATATAATCCCATCACCTTCCAGCTATCCTGTCCCTGAGCAGGGATCCATCTCCTTCATAAGATCCTGTCCCTGAGCAGGGATCCAATGCCATCACCTCCCAAATACCCTGTCCCTGAGCAGGGATATAATCCCATCACCTTCCAAACATCCCGACTCTGAGCAGGGATCCATCACCTTCCAAATATCCTGCTCCTGAGCATGGATATAATCCCATCACCTCATAAATACCCTGTACCTGAAGGTGGATCCATCCCCTTCCAATTATCCTGCTCCTGAGCATGGATCCAATCCCATCACCCACCAAAGCACCAGCTTTTGGTATCTCAGCTTGAAATCCAACGTGAAAATCCAACGGGAAGATCCAACGTGCTGCCTTTTAAAACGCTCCCACCAGTGATTAAAACCTGGGAACTGGATAACACCATGGGCACCAGAGAACACCAAACCCAAGGCTTTTGGAGCCAAGCCCAAAAGCTGTGTTCCCAAACCACAGCCTGCCTTTGAATCATCCCAAGACGCCGGAGCAGGACACGAACTCTCCCACATTCCTTCCCAAAATCTCACCCAGCACAAGTGTTGTCCCCCCCCCCCCCCCCAGACACTTTTATCACCTCCCACCAGAGACATCACAAGTTGGCAGGTCCTGAACAGGAACCAGACAGGCAATTTGCTGCTAATTAAGAGTGGAGTTGTGCCATTCCCAGCTCCCAGAGCTCCGGGAGGGCAGTTCCCTCGGAGACAGGGGCATCTCCTGGAGTCACCAGCACCACCCAGCTCCTGGCAGGTGACCCTGGAGGGCCACAGCAGGAGGGACAGACATTCCCAAGGCTGGGAAAGCAGCACGTGCCCGCTCTGGGATGGGATCAGCTGGGAAATCCAGGAAAGCACAGAGAGCTCCAGTGAAGGAGAAAGGCAGAGGAATTATTCTCTTCCCCACAGTTACACCAACAGATCCATCCCCTTTCCCACCATTGTCCAGGCCAGCACCCTCCTCCCTAAAAAAAAAAAAAAAGGGGTAGGAGAAGTTAAAGGAGCAAATCAGAGCAGGAGGAGACTCCCAAAAAGGATCCAGAGCAGGAGAGAACAGATTAAAACAGAGATTCCAAAGCAGCCACAGCCTCCCCTCCCTCCTCCCAGGGAACTCCACGGCTGCCCATCAAATCCCTCGGCAGGAAAATCCCACCTGGATCCCAGCACAAATCCCAGCCTCACAGTCCCTTCTGCAGGAGTTTCCCTTTGACCAGCACTAATCCAAAGGAATGTTTGTTTTTCTTTTTTGTCTGGCTAAAAATAGTCCTTGGACTTAAAAACCTGATGGAGGGGGGTGGGTGGGTGGGCCCAGGCAGGATGTGCTCCATGGGAGAACCTCTGGAATTGCCGCTCTCCTGGGAGGCTGGGAAGTGCCAGGGGCATCACCAGACCTATTTTCTCAGAGCCTGGGGGCTCAGATGGCAGAGGCTGGGTGAAAACAGGCTGGAACTGGGATTTTGCTAAGTCATGGCAGCACGTACAGCTAAATATATCAGTGGACATGGTGACTCTCTGGCAAGTCCTCACAAAAATAAAACTGTTTAAAAAAAAATAAAAATGGAAGAGGCTGTTCTGGACTTCCAGGCTTTCCAAATGTTTCTAGGGATGAAAACCCAGAGCCCCAAGTTTGCTTTTCCTAACATCTCTTTCATCATTCCAGGTGGTGTCCAGTGGAATGAATTTGTTTGGTCAGGACACAGGAAAACGTTGTTTTTCTTGGATGTAGATCCAGCAGCATGTCTGAAACACAGAATGTGCCACCCAGGGCCAGGTTTGCTGGTGTGTGAAGTCAAACTGGATATTGGGAAGGAATTCTTCCCGGGGGGGGCAGTGAGGGGCTGGAACGGGAATTCCCAGAGAAGCTGTGGCTGCCCCATCCCTGGAAGTGTCCAAGGCCAGGTTGGAGCAACCTGGGCTAGTGGAAGGTGTCCCTGCCCATGGCAGGGGGTGGGACTGGAGGGGTTTAAAGTCCTTCCAACCCAAGGCAGCCTGGGATTCCATAAACCAAGCAGGTTTATGAGGATGTACAGCAGGGACCAGAAGGCAGAGCTGTCACAGCCTCTCACCCAGCACAAGGTGTGACGGTCCCTGTGCTGTAACAACCCTCCCTCTGCCCTCCAGAACATTAAAAGTTTGGCTCTGCTCCCACAGCAGTCCCTACGTGCTCCCCGTGGGGCTAATTCCCACCTTTCCCTGCTCCCAGGGAGGACACGGAGCTGCTGCTCAGGCCTGGCTGTGTCAGCCCTTCATTACAGGGCAGAGCCACCCCAAGTGGGTCAGTGGTGACACCGCCCAGCCCAGGTGACATCGGGTGACTCCTGTCCCTGCACAGGAACCGCCCCCAGCTGTGTCCCAGCTGCCATTCCAGGGGGATGGGAAACGGGAACAGCCCCTGCTGCCAGGGCTGAGGGAGGCACCTTGGCACAGCCGAGCGAAATCCGGAGCACTGTGCCATCCCTGTGCCATCCCTGCACCCCTCACTGGGCCTGGCACTGCCACGGGCCAGGCCCTGAAAGGCAGGGGATTATGGAGGCTTGGCTCTCTCCTGCAGGTCTGGCTCAGGGAATCATGGAATGGCTTGGAAAGGCTTTAAAGATAATCCAGTCCCACCCCCTGCCACGGGCAGGGACACCTTCCACCAACCCAGGTTGTTCCAACCTGGCCTTGGACACTTCCAGGGATCCAGGGGCAGCCCCAGCTTCTCTGGGCAACCTGGGCCAGGGAGGAATTTCTGCCCAATATCCCACCCAACCCTGCCCTCTGGCATCCTAAAACCATTGCCCTGGTCCTGTCAGTGCAGCTCCTGCTGGGGCTGCAGCAGCCCCAGAACCAAAGCCCACCCAGGGACAGGGGGACACAGGCTCTGAACTTCTCTCCCAGAGCAGCAAATTCAAAGCTCGGTGGAGAAAAAGGGATGAAGCTTATCCAGAGCTTCAGGGAATTAGTGGCTGCAAGGTTAGAGCAGGCACTGGGGTTGGCTGTGGTGCTGAGACATAAAATGACCCACCTGGATGTTCATTCGAAGGAAAAACAACACAGATTTGGCACCTTGAGAGCCCAACACACACTGGCACAGCCCAGGGAGACACAGAGAGGGAAGGGGAGACAGTGACACCCATTTTCAGGACAAAACCCACCCAACCACCCGGCAGAGACACCCACAGAGGTGGGCAGGGGGGAAGGAAAGCCACAGGCCTTCCCCAAACACATTCTCTACTCATTTCTTTAGATTGTTAAAGTGCCAAACAAACAATGCAGAATTTAAAACCACAACCCATGGGATACCAGCGAATATTCTCATTTTAAAACACCCCAACTTGGGTGTAACAGTGCATGACAAACTTCTTACAGACCCAAAAGAACCAGGTAACCACGTGCTGAGGATGAAGCTGGAGCTGCTCTGAGGCCTAAAGCTCCCTGTCCTCGTGGGGCCCTTCCAACTGGGGATATTCCAGGATTCCACAGTCCCTGATTCCCGAGGAAAATGCTGGGCAGACCCTCCTCAGCTGCACCCAACCACAGGAAATGAAGCAATTCAAAGCCAGCCAGAGGACAGGCTGCAATTACTAATTATTAGAGAGCAAATAACGCGCTCTCTGGAAACTGGTTTGAAGCTGGGAAAGGTGGGAATCAACTGCTGCCCACAGAAATCAGGGATCACAGACACAGCTGGAATATTCCAGGGTTTACCTGCCACCCAGGCTGTGTCAGACACTTTGGAGATGAACCTTCAGAGCTCTAAAAGCAATGGAACATCCGTGGGAATTCACTCCGAGTTTAAACCCCGAGGAGCTGGAGATGCACTGGGAGGTTTTTCCAGCTAAACAGCTGCTGGCTCCCAGCCAGAATTCCAGCATTCCTGGTAGAATTTATATCAATTTTATCTGTTATGGTCCACATGGAGATGAACAAGCCCAGTGCAGCCACTGAGACAACACAAGACAGAGCAAACCTCACTCACAGCACCAACAGTAAAAAAAGCTGCACATAAGCCAGGGAACAACAGGAAAAATATGGAATTCACTCAGTATTTCCCTTGGAAAAGCTCTCAGTGAAGCTTTGAAACGACTTCTTACAAACACTGTCAATATGAACTGACATCTTGCCTCCAGTTCTGCTCATCTGGGGGAAAAAAAAAACCCCACTGTTCCAGGAAAAAAAAAAAAACACCTCTGTTCCAGGGCTCAAACAACCGAGACAGGATTCCCTTCCCAGCACAGGATTTCGGGAAGCAGCAGCTGGAGCAGGCTGAGCTGCCTTCCTGGAGGCAAAGAAGACTCACACTGCAGAGATCAGTCACTGAAGTGCCAGTGAAATCCAAGGCTCTCCAGAGGATCCAAGGCACGGAGTTGTTCACAGCCCCGAGCAGCTCAGACCGAGGGAATTTCCCTGGAGTTCCACAGGGAATTTGTTTAAACCCCATCCAGTTCAATCTGAGCTAAGTCTCCAAGGAAATGGCTGGCTGGGAGTGAGGCAGTGCTGGGAGAGGCTCCATCCTTGGCTGTGGGGATGCTCTGCTGGGATAAGGAAGGGTGGGAATGCAGCCACTGCCCTCCTGCCCCGCTGCTCCCAACCCTGCCCGGGCAAAATCCTGACTAAGCAGGACAA